ATTAAATTACTCATTTTGTATAATATATATTATTTGAAATGTAGATGTGATAACTTAATTAATATAATTAATTTTTTTATAGTAGAATTAAGAACGTTTAATTTTAGTAGGAACAATAGCAAAGTATTGGAATTGATTAATTATAGGTTTAAGTATTAATTATTAATTGAGTTTTAACTAAATTAATTCAAGAACTATCATAAGAGTTTGTTTAAATAGTTTCAATAATTTGAGTTCATTATTTTCTCATGTTAAAGTTAATCTCTTAATAAAAGTTTTATTTTTCATTATAAAAGAAGAAAATGGTTACTCTTTTTTGGCTGATTTCTGTATATGAATTTGCTAGAGTGCAAAAGTGCCATGTTTAAACTACTCTTTAAAATCTTTTTCTGGATTATAAACTAGCTTTCGATAGCCCCATAAGAGATTGCGTTTACGCTGCAATGTCTGAGCTCATTATCCATGCAAAGTTAATACAATTCTGCAGAATGATGTCAAGCAGTAGTCGTGGTTTCCATCGAATCCAAATGAATTATGAGCTGTCAGGCATTGATGTAATTCAGCGAATTAACATCCAGCGGTTTCACTGGCTTGGCCATCTCGTGTGAATGAATGACGTTGCTCCAGCCAAAAATGATTTTAAAGTCATGGTTTGACAAAGAATGCACTTTGTATCTCTAGTGAAGAGATTAAATTGAAGAATCACTAACTGCACTAGATATATGACACTGGAAACACGCTCACGAAAAGAGAGCGATTAAAAGTTTATATCAGTAATTATGCCACCAAAAACTAGTGGAACACCATTGATAGCGAAATTACCACAATCTCGCCCACATAAGGGAGTAAAGGATTTTCTATAACCAACTTCAGAATAAAACAAAAGGAAAGGAATAAAATAAAATTTTCACGTGATGTCATGTGAGAGTTTACCAATAATGCGAAGTCTTCATAGCGCCATCTTGTGTACTATAATTTCTGATGCTTACATATACGTATCTACCTATATGATTTTTTATATAAAAATTATGATGTGTACTAAAAATCTATAAACTTATGGAAACTATTTTTATGTCACTATTTTCATGTCAATAGGTTTTTGGATAATATTTTATATCTTCAGCTTTAACTATTATTTCAAAAATGTGTATTTCATAAAGCGATTTTCGAAAAGTAGTGAACTACAACAACAAGAACTCTTTTTTTATATTATTTTAATTAATTGATTTTTTGGCTGGCCATACAGTTGTTTCTAGTATTGCCAAATACCCATCATCAGTGATCTTGGAACTATTTCTTGTATTTAATTATTCGTATATAATTTTTTTTAAACTGCATGTACCAGGAATCAAACTTGTGCCCTGTCATATAAATTTAAATGTAATTAAATCAAATTCAAAATAACAAATTTTATTAGATTTTTTTTTAACAATTTTATTAAAATATATTTTTCTTGTTTTAATATTTAACTTTTTTAAGAAAATATTTTAATTTGAAATTGAAATTTAATAAATTGAAAATTCAATTTAACATTTAAATCGCCTTTGTTTACAAATTGTTTAAATGACAGCAATAAAATTACAAAACACTTCGAGAAATAGAGAAATATATGGAAAAAACAACAAAAAAATAGCAACA